GAATGCAACAAGTAAACCATTAATTCAATTTTAGTCAATTAGTCACTTTAAAATCTCATTTGATTGTGTTTTATAATATCCACTATATTTGTGAAAGTGAATATAAATATAAATCCTTTAGTAGGGTTTGACACTGGTGCAGAATAAGGAATTAAACTGTAAATTGAGTTGTTTATGGGTTTTTATTCCATTTTGCTTCTTTTTTATTTCATGTGAACATGCAATTTCCCCCACCCCCCCCCTTTTTTTTTTTAAGTGTGCATTAAGCTGTGTTTTGGTATGGCCATATTCTTATATACACAGAAAAGGACTAAAACAAGCAACACTCAACTCCATTTTCCATCAAAAGGCAGCAGCAAGAATAATTAAAACCCAATTCTGCCATCTGTATTTACTGGGATTACTAGTTGGGTGTATCTACATGTGCGCTTTTACTATGAAGCTGCCTAGCTCCACAGTAAAGCATTACTTTCTGCATGTGTGCCCGTACTGGGGGGCAGTAAATCAATTAACTCCACTGTAGGAAAGTATCATCTAAGATGAGTACTATCCTGCAGTGTAGTAGTTACATGTGCCAAAAATGCACATGGAAACGTTGACCAAAACTGGCTGGGGCCATGAAAGTACTACAATGTGGTGACTGCCTGCTGGCTAACCTTGCACTGTAGCACCCTCGGGCATTTATACACATACATTTTTGTGCTGAGATGTGCCGGAGATCTGGCATGTTGGAGCACACTTGATTAATCAACTCTACCCTGCATGTGAGTTGATGCACGCTGCGCTGCATCAAGTGTTTATAAGCAGCAAAATGCACGTCAGCATGCAGAAAGTGGCAGCAGTGCATACTGCCACCATTTTCTCAGCCTGACACATATTTTGCTGCTTTTAAAAGTGCCTGGCGCTGCAGCACAAGTATGTATACAAATGCCCCTTGTGCCCTGGTCAGCCTCTCTGCAGCATGTTGAGCTATGGCAGAGCAATCCCGAGCTGGCAGACTGACCCCCCACAGGTCCTCTGCCATCCAGGGGCTGCTGTGTCCCAGGTGCACATGTAAAATGCTGTGTCCAGGAGCAATAAACTGTGGTGCAAACTGTGCTAGAGTTTATTGCTATGTGCTAATTGCACATGTAGATGCACCCACTGAGTAAAATACTACTCAGCACAAGAAAAAATGATAGACTTGGGCTCCAAGTTAACAGTCAGTCAGAAAACTGAAAAGTAATTAGTAGCCCAATAAGTAATAAGATGCAAGGCAGACACTGCTTACTTGTGGCATGATGTAGGACTAAAATATCCCAGCTAAGATTTTTTTTTTTTTTTTTAAAGATGCACAAAGTTAAGCTCCATATCTAATATCCATGGTTTATCAGTCAGGTTTTCAGGAGTACTGAGCAGATCCCTGTAGGTCTTGGTGGGATCTTGTACTGCTTACCATAGCAAAGACAAAGAAGGGGTTCACAATCTGCCCTATATGACATAGACAAATTTTCTTGTAGTGTATTTTTTTCACAGCTTGCAGGGTTGTTGCATTAATTCCTCTATGGAATCCTGTCCTTGACACCAGACGCAGTATGGAAATGGCATTGATGAAGCAGCTCCAGCTTCTCCCTGGAACAAAAAACAAAAGGGCCAACAAATATAGAATTTCAGGAGTTATAAATTCATCACTAATAAATTAAGAACTACGTACATTTCTCAGGCTATTATGATAAAAAAATAATTAGAATGCTGTTCAAGATAGCATACTGAAATTATTTGTTCTTTTAGCTTTTAAAATCTATTTAAAGATCTGGTAATGCACAGTTAATGAACTATTTATGTTCATTAACTATTAAGATTCTTTTTATATCATATAAAAAGGTCATATTTTGGAAATGAGAGCACTTTAAAATATAATTCAACACAATATTTCACAATGTAAAATCTGTTCCAAGGACTGTTTTATGCCAGATAAAAAACTTTAAATATTAGATTTCAATACAGTCACACCAATAGATGTCTATAACAAGTACATTTCCATGTGGGGAAGGGACAAAAAGCCACTAAAGCTTAATACTGGTTACATGAGACATTCCTTGTAGAAAACAAATCTACACACACACACACACACACACCACCCCCATACCAAGGCTCATTTTGCCATTTGATGTCCATCTCAAGCTTTTATGAAGATGAAACATACCACTATTATTTAGACAGTATGCCCCTTGGGACCAAGGAGTGCATCTTTCTCATCTCTAAGTTGAACTGCATTGTGTGTGTGCAAACAAATGTATCTTTTAAAAAGGGTATTTTAGAGAAGCACTCTATATTCTTTTGCCTAATTCCCTACATCTTGAAAACTATTATGATCTTATGAATACTTGTGGGTACCAGGAAAACTAGGGCAGACCTATAATGTAAAAGCTGCAAGTGATGCCTCTTCATTCTCTCTTCCTCTTCTTGGTCACTGAAAGTAATATGGCAGTGATTAGTGTGCCTGATCAAAAAGGCTATGCAAGAGTGAACTGCAATTATACCAGGCTTATTTTAGCCCTAGCTTGGAGCCTTTGAAATGCCAGTTTTGGCCCAGTGGTTGCCTGTGAACCCAAGGAACTGGACTCAGTGGCCTGGAAGGCCCCATCTAGTTCTATGTTCCTAATAGAACTGTTAAATCAGGGCAGAATTGACCTACTTATTTCTGCTATATTGCCCATATTCCAGAGGACTTGGAGAGAGCAGTAAATTAAGGCACAATGGTGCAATAGCTTTGTAAAGGGAAGTGTTCCAGGATATGCGATAATACAATCAGCTGTACCTTCATATTCACTGCAATTATGCCAAGTTCAAACATATTTTCCTTTCCTGCTTTCTGGAGTTTATCGTCAAGCAGTCTGACATGCATCCATTGGAGACAAACCCTGAAAGAAAAACAGTAGTAAGACATTTATATTTCTGTTATATACTTTAACCAAAGTAACTTCAACTACTAACCCCAGACCCACATGATGTTAGACAGCTAATTATGATTATGACTGATTAGAGAGAGAAGCCAGAGGATATGAAATGTTGCACTTTGCCCCTTACTGTATTTAAGCACATATGAATAATCACTAGGTACTTTAGACTCCTTCCTATAACTAGACACAATGCTGAATATTTGAGATAGCACATAACCTTTGTGTCTGATTCTAGCAGTTCCCTGTGCCCATGCCAGTCCTTGCTGGTTTCAGTGGGGCTCCACCCAAGGAGAGCTCATGGCAGTCAGGTTCTTAATTCTGAATGTCCTTTTAACAACTTGATTAGATGCAATTATTTAAATAGCTTTGGTTTTGCAGGGGGGGTGGGGAAGGGAGGAAGGGGTATCAGTAAGAGTATTAATAAAATAAAAAGTTTCCATTGGAATTAGAATAGCCAATGCACTAATATCAAGAGAAAAGTAATTAATATACAATGAAAATATGAGAGGCACTTTGACTGACATGATCACAGGTCGCTAAAATTAAAATGAAAGTGTTTCTTCAAATAACAACACTTGTAATGACAAGGTAACAGCTTACAGGAATGGGGGTAAATATGAGGAATTTCCAGGGTAGCGTAGAACAGAAACTGTCCAAGCTAGATATCAGAATTACTCTGTTTCACTTTTATTGCAGATACTGCAGCTAGGACAGCCAAGATCATCCTATACTGAAATCCCAGGGGGGCAGAGGAATTTTCAGGATAGGACTCCAAGGACATTTATACACATACATTTTTGTGTTGGGAGGCGTTGGGAGATCCTGAAATCGAGTCTGAAATCGAGATCCTGAAATCTTACACGTGCTGCACTGTGTCGCATGCAGTTGTATTAAGTGTCGAAATGCATGTCAGCGCACAGAAAATGGCGGCGGTGTGCTTTTGAACTAAAACACCTTTGATGCGTTTTAGTTCAAAAGCGCACCACTGCCATTTTTTCAGCGCTGATGTGAATTTTGCAACTTATACAACTGCATGTGACACAGCACCGAGTGCTTTTAAAAGTGCCCGGCACTGCGGTGCAGGCATGTGCACAAATATCCTAAAGTGTCTAATGAAGAGAACATATTCTGAATGGCATGGGATGGATCAAAAATGGCATTGTTGCAGGACTGGGAAAGAAAAGAAAGGATGCTTTACCACTCTACAGTACATGAAACTGTGCTTTTTAATTCGAACTGGATAAACATTGAGGCTAGGGGCAGAAATTACACATAAACTAGTATAAATGACTGGAAATCAGTTCAAACCTGTAACACAACAGAAATTCAGTACACAAACTGCTTTCAAAATGGCCAAAACCAGTTTAAGATAAACCTGGACAGATGTAGCATTAGGGTGCAGACAGAAGTACAGCTCCTTGCTGTAACTGAGAACGCTTTGCAGGATGTGTTCTGAGTTACAGCAATCCCTCCGACCAAACAGAAGTTCACTGGAGGTTCCAGGGGGAATGGGGAATGTAGCTGTTAGCTGCCAGCCTGCAGCCGGTTTCCCTTACCAATGGCCCTTCCTCCCTGCCCGTCAATACTGTTTTCAGAATGGAAGGGGGAAAATGGAGCAGAAGGAGCTCATGCTAGGGGTTCTCCAGACAGTGCTGGAGGGTGGGGTAGGTGTATTAGAGCCCCTTCACCCCACTTTGCTGGGGGGGTGAGGGGGGTGGCTCCAATACACTCGTCCCACCCTACTGCAGGGGATGAAAAAGCTCCAGACTGAACTCCTTCCACACCCTTTCCCCACTTCTGTTCAGTCTGGCAGGCAAACACAACTTACAGAACATTTTGAAATATCTTCATCTGAACCCACATGCAATGAGGGTTCAGATTTTCACCCAACTGGCCATTTTTGAAGTGGTCTGCAGCTGTGCACTTATGTTTGGTTGCAGCTATAGACTGCTTTCTGTGGCCAGATTGGGCAAAAATTGTCACTTCTGTCTGCACCCTCAAATGTAACTGATTTCAAGTAAATTTATTGAACTTCTGTCCCAGATCTCTTCCAGATTTAGATCAACTCTCAGTCCCCCAGCCCAGGATGCTTCGCATCTCCCCTGCACTCCTTCTTGCAGGGTAGGCGGGCTAGCTTTGGCACAAACTGTCTGCTCCAGCACAGCAGGCTTGGTCTGGTGCCCCTGACCCCAATTCTGGCCTGGGCCACTGCAGGCATGTGGCTACATTTCCGGAATCAAAAGAGAATGTCTGTTCACTTGTTTATCAGTTCAATCTATGCAGCTTAAACTAACCTGCGAAGATTGAACTGATTCAGCCTTCAGCTTTTTGACTGTCTGTACTCAGCCTGAGGGGTCTAACTCATTTTCAGTGAAGTGGAGGTAGGGCGATGATGTGGTTCAGACATTTCACTGTGGCTCCAGAAGTATGAGTTGGAGCCCCACACTGAACTCAAACAAATGCTATTCCTCACTGACCTAACTAAATGGGCAGCTGGATTTTTGGGCTGAGGGCTCACAGGCAGCCAGACGCGATGCCGGTCACCTCACTCTTGTGTGCTGTTGGCTACAGAAACTGGTGTGCCTTAACCATGTCAGTTCAGTGGGCTACTAGGTTCTGGTATCTGCTTGACCTGACTTGATTCATTTTTAAACAGGGGTTCTTTCTGGACAACTGAAGTGAAATGGCACAGATTTCTGATTTCAAAACAAACTGTCATTTTTTTATTTTGTAGGTCAAAAATCACCGAATAGAAAGGTAAGAGCCCAAGCAAATACAAAGGGAATGTGTGAGGTGGTGGTGGGGTCAGGCATTTGTGCCCACAGGCTGAGCTGGTCCCGCATTGTCTTAGGGAGTCATGGTCTCATGCTGCATGAGACTTAAGTGCCTGACAAATGCTGGACTGAAGAGGCCACATCCTCTCTCTGCTTCAACAGGCAAAGAACACACTGCCATTTTTACAAATCGTAATGAAGTTCAACCCTTGCTAGGAGCTTTGTTGAATATAAACAACAAAGCTCCTAGCAAGCCTCCAGGGATATTAGTCACATGGTAGCCCTCCAACAATACAGGACAAGATCTTGCCCTAAATAAAAAAATGTAAACCAGCTGAAGTACTTAAAGGCCTGAGATAAGCAACTGATAAGAGATAGTAACTGTACATGTCAGTCTGCACTGGGAGGAAAGGGACTTTTAAAAACTGTAGTTTTGTTTGAGTCAGTAAGAACCAAAAAAAGTACTCCTATTTTCTAGGAATTTGAGACGGTAGTTATTGTAAGTGAAAAGATTTTGTATTCTATCAGTAAGCTCTGGTAATTTTATGCCGTATCTGCACTAATATAAACATACATATCTGTTACGTATTTTAATGCAGTATATTACCAAGTTACAAATGAACTGAGACAATTTATATCAGCTGAGGATCCGGCTACAGTGTTCTGAGTTCTTTTATCTTACATAATCTCTTTTGGTTTTAGTTTCCTGTACCAAGAGACAATAGTAAAATTAACAAGGGCTGATTACTGTTTGTTCACTAGACTTTTTAAATACCACAGTGACAAATATGTATTGTAGATTTGGCCATGTAGTCAGGACACAAAGATATCTGCCTTGATTTTAAGCCACACAAAATTACCTGTTTCATTAGCAGAACTACATGAAAGCATGGACAGAAACACATGATCTGGTCTCCATCTCCTGTAGCTGGCAGGAAAAGAAGAAGAGACAATTGTGAATGACATACTTTGTATGCAAGTGGATGATGCTTACTTGCACTGTTTTACTGAGGGTAACATCCTCAGATTGCACATAGAACCAGCTAACGGAAGTTTTTGCAGCTGTGCTATGGTGTGGTCATTGGGAACAAAATACATCCTACACAACCGCTTCTTCTGCAACCCTCTCCCTCTTTTTCTGACCTACAGGCTGAAGATGAGGCAACAGCCTATCTATACTACAGTAGAGATGGGGGGGAAGAAGCAGTAAAATGGCAACCTTATTTTACATGATTGTCTTCCTCCACTAAAAGTGTATAAAAGAGGGCAGGGGTAAGAGGGCAGGCACTTAAGAAAGCATAGGAGGAATCTAGTTTTACTGTATGTCTGTGTTGTTTACAATTCAGTCTGTATAACTAGAACACTTCAAAGCAAAAAATGGCAAAATAAACATACTTTTTTATTATAGAGAGGATTTTTTGAGTAAGTGAAGAATACTCTGACAATGCACAAATGGCTATCACTGGGAGCCTAACAACTCTTCTGCTTTCTCAGCCCAAAACCAAAAGAGGAAGCCAAATGCTACTGCTTACATGCAAAGGACTGCCAAGTTCCCATTACTATCAAGATCCAGTGGCGTTTGGAAAGGAAATGACTGACTGCTGAAAGGCATAACTAGCAGGTGCAGATGGCATTAGAACAAGTTTTTCAATGACTAATCTGCTACAGTCACAACACAGAAAGTACAAATAGTTTTAAGGACAATCATTCAGGTCCTGCCAGCTTTACTGCAGGTCCTGGAAGGACTTAGTTCCAGTCTGGCGTGCAGTGTCTCTTAACTTAAATGAGGTGTCAAATGAATTCAGTGACATACAGAAGGACTGTACAATATACATGTCCCATATATAAATATATGCTAAAGCATCAAGGGAATTCAAGTGAGAAAGGTGATAATATATTGCCTGTAAATCTAAAAATTCTTTAACACAGCCAGAGCTTTCATAGAAAAGCATCTGTTTGCCCTAAAGCATGACACAATCTGTACAAAGTTTCACAATAGTAGGCTAACGCAAAAGTGGTAAGGAAGTTGGAAAAGGAAGTGCTAAGTGTTCAGGAGATTCTATCCAGTGCAATATTAAGCCAGTCATTTGCCCTATGGTTTGCTGTTGTGGTGTCAAAAGAATCTTCAACCGATTTACAGAGAAACCCAGAGCACTAAAAGTGTTCTTAAAGAATGCAGTCTGGGATGCCAGCACCTTGAACATGTCAAATGAAGACCATGATGGCTATGGATATTGTCCACGCTCTGAACCTCTGTATGGATTTGGTGCCTACCTGAAGACTGCTTGCCAAAACTAAACATCACTTTTCATTCATTTAGCCGCTCAAATCACACCCCTCTGTATCTAAAATACTGAGGAAAATGAAACCCACTGTTATATGCCACTAAAACACAGTGGCATACATGTAGAATAAGAACAAATGGTACCTCGATATCTGAAATATGTTGCTACCCAGCCTGATGAACTAAGGTGGAACAGCAGGAAGAAGATTTCCAGTAGCAAAAGAGTTCAACCAGGCCTTCTCTCCTTCAGGGTCCAGTAAGAAAGGTTAAAAATCAAATTAAATCTATCTGCCCTATTCCTCCCTTCAATAATCTCACCTCCATAAACTGCAGCATGGCAGAATGATTTCTACTTTTGCACAGCTTTTTATTTTCAAATATCCTAGAAAGACATTAAGTTGACATACTAGTCAGTCATTTTTGAGATCTGGATAATCTAAGCTTGGTAAAACAGCATTGTGGGATTCATGTTTATTTCCTCAATAATTTTGCTATACAGTGCATTTATTTTACAAGACAAAAAATGGTCCTTCTAGTTTCCTGCCCTGGCTTTTCATCCCTGGCTCTAAAAGTCAAGCTAAGTATTTCTATTGGATTCTGATAACACCCTACAAGAGTTGCTGCAGAAATCCATTCACACTAGCCCTCTAGAAGAGTGAGGTTACCATTTTGTGGAATAAGACCAGGAAATGAAACTAATTGTACAGAAAGCATTGTCATATGCAAAGGGTTAACAGACTAAGGCAGAGGGAAAAAAAAAAAAGACTCCCTAATCCCTCAGTTTTATTTATCTAAGATATTTACTTGTAGAAACAACAAGCAAAGTCTTCCAGAGAAAAATGTGATTTTTTTAAGCTGATATCATCCTTTAATATTTTCAGAACAATACAGTGAATTTTCTGTACACTTTATGCCTCTGGTGATGCGATTATATTTTCAGTATGGAGCTATGATTAAACTCTCTTCTGTACTATCTTTTCCCTTCCTGCACAGTAATATGGTACCCAAGAAAGATCTTTATCAGACTGACCCAAAGCAACTGTTAAAACCACATTCCATAAATGCTCTTCTCTTTTCCACCCACTATGCATGTACCCACACCTGCTACAAGGGTCACAAAGAAGTGACCTCTCTCTGCTGTCCTTCTCTCGGCATTATGGTTAAGGTGATTCCTATCATTTACTGCAACTAAAAAAAAAGGGCATATGGAACCACACACCCTTCAGGATTCACAGGACACGGGCTGTGTGAGCAAGACAATTAACCAGGCTCTGGAAATGGAAATATGAGCTTTTGTTTTTTTCTGATATATAAAAGACCAGAAACATATTCACATGTTTTTCTCAACTTTTTTTTTTTTTAACACTGAAAATTTAGGTACTTTTTGGCCTTTCAAGCAATCTTATAATCTAGAAGAATGTGATGAAAGAAAGGTAGTGACATTACATGCAGCCAAAGAGGTGACCTTTTGAGGGGAGAAGGTATGGTAATAAAAACGTTTGCAACTCCTTTGCTTTCATTAATATTTTTAATATTAAGCTTTTACATTTTAGTTTTAAAAAAATTATACTTATTTTAATATTTTGCTTCGCCACCTAATGTTTTGTGAAGACTCTATTATGTGTTCTCTTTAGTTAAGGTGTGGCAACTAAGGATATATATAATCTGAGATCCCAGGTTTTGATGGGGGACAATTTCAAAGATGATATTCCTGATATTTCCAAGGTAAAAAAATAAGTGGGAGCCTACCCCTCTCCTGCCAAGTTTTTCCAAAAAAACCCTTATAGCCCTTCTTCGCACATCATCAAGTAACAAAAGGGCAAAGACTACTACTTTTAAATAATTTTCAGGTCAAGATTAAAATCAGTTTTTAATATTTTGCAAGCATAGACTTTCCTTAGATATATTCCTTGTACTTCAGATTTTAAAAATAGTCAGTTTTCCTGAAGAACAAAGTTTTCAAAAAAATCAGCAAGAAGGACCTTTACACGACACTCATACTAGGAGACTGTTCTAGTTTGCATATACCAGCAGTTAGGCTGGAATAACTTTATTTTCTGACGCATGCAAAGGTGGTCTAGTTAAAGCCTAGGGAAGGCCAACACTTTACCTCAGCATGTTCTACACTAAACTTTCAGACAGATTTAATCATCTCGTATAAATTACCACATTCTAACATGTTTATATCCCAATTTAGAAAAGGGCACTAAGAATACTAAGGCAATCAAAGCCTTGACAACTGCTGAGGCAGAATAATAGAGTTCTGATGTAATCAGAAGCAAATTTGGCAAATATGTAGATAAGAGGTATAGAAATAATTCTGGCTCAGATTATATGCTTATTAAAAATTATTTAGATGTATGTTTATGTGGATTATTTGCATATATTTTATTTTGTTTTCCAATACATACCTGCTGCAGCTCCTACCTAGAAAAAAAAATTATATTACTTGGGAGACCATCTGGAATGTATAACAGCAGCAACACTAGCTGAACAGAATGTTTAAAAACATATTACAGGAAGATTTATACCCATACTTGGAATTCTTGCTAAATACACTTTCATCATATAGTTATAAATAACCATGTTTTAAAGAGAATCAGAATAGTACAACATTATGACCTCATCCCCAACTCTGCACTCTACAAAAGTCTTAAGGCCCACAAAGTGAAAGCAGAAGGGAACAGTGTTTCTTTCACATACCTCTCCTTTGCTAACATATACACACAAATTAAAATGACTTTGCTAGGGAACCATCTCATTACCCTTTGGTCTAAATATCCTGCTGGATGGTCTCCTTTCCCTGTTCCTTGTTTCACCTTCTGTTGAGCTGTTCTAGGACGCAAAAAACTAAGACTAGAAATAGACATTGCCAAATGAAGTGAATCAGCTGTGCCAGGATGGATCAGCTGTGCTGGGACCCATTTAATTGGGCAAAGTGAATGTTGCTTATTGTCCTGCAGCATCAATGCGCAGGACAACAGGCAAATTGTTCTCCTGGGACTTGAGAAGCCTGCTTACACGCATCCTGGGAATCACCATGCAGGATCAGGCCACTCAAGCCCTGGGAGAGCCTGCCTGGCTTTCACCACTTACCCAAATGCATCCTGGAGATCCTAGGGGTGCATCCGGGTAAGCAGGGAAAGCTGGACAGGCGCTCCCATGGCCTGAGGTGCCCAATCCTGCTCGGGAATTTCAGCAGTGCCCAGGATTGGGCCCCTCAAGCCCCTGCCCAGAGCAACTAGAGAGCTTGGGCAGCTCCTGGCTACCCGTGCTATTCCTCTATAAAACAAAAAGACATCTGCCACAATAAAGTGGCAGAAATTATAACTACCTTCCATCACAGCCACAAATTTGGGCATTTGTAGCTCAACAAAAGTTATAAATGCCTATTTGCTTTCACTCTCCTCCACCACAATTTTTTTTATGGCAGCACAAAGGCAAGGAAAGGCATGGTCTGATTCCACCCTAAGGGTGCGTCCACACATGCAGGCACACGCGCTTGTAGCAGCTCAAACAGCAGCAGCACAAATTTGTGCCGGAGATTTGTGCCTCAGCACACATGCCTGAACATGCACTTTGGTATGGGGCAACTTGTGCCACTTGGGGCAAACTGACCCTGCCCAGCTCCTCCCAGATCTTGCGCCAGGGGGAGCCAAAGGCTGGGGCCAGCACCTGTGCTGGCCCCAGCAGTATAAAAAGGTGCCCTGGTGAGCAGATCAGGGCTACTTGCCATCAGGAGCTTCTGAAGCCCAGCCAGTTGGTATCTGGGGACACTAGCTCCTTGGGCCAGCTGAACAGCTGAAGCAGCCCTAACCTAGAGTGGCCCCTACACTCTCTACCCACTGCAGCAGTCTGGCCACAGGGGCTGCTACCTGGCTGTGACTTGCTGTGGCAGCATCTTCCCTCTTGGACCTGCAGCCCCAGGGCTACATGCCTGTCAAACCCAGGTGGGTTCTGTATGACTGCCTGGGCTGTGGTATGGACACTGCAGCAGAGCTGCCTGCATCTCTGGGCTAGCTGCCAGTGGGCTGTGGCTGCAGAGCTGGTCTTCATGCAGCACTGCTGTCATGTCTTCTGGTGTCTCCGCCCTGCCATCTGGGCAGCTATCAGCCAGAAGATGTGCTTATTTGCAGTGGCCCACTTTGAACTGTTGAAGCATGTCCTCCTGGCCCCAAATGGCCATGAGATCAACCACCTTGTCTGCCCTCCAGTTGGGTCACTGGTGCTGGCCCTGAGCAGGGTTCTCAGCCTGGGTCTTGCCACTTGCCTCACCAGCAG